TATAATATATATATGAGGGAAAATATAATTTTATATTAGCAATCAAATATTTATGAAAACAAAATGATAATTTAAAATGAGAATGATCTTTTTACGTATACCTCGCTTGTAATTTTATTAAGAATTGATAGAAACGCCTTTAATCTCTTTCCCAGAGATAAATTGTTAAATGTAACATCAGGATGTAACCATTTTTTGAAGATCCTTTCCATAACTAAGTCTACCGCTCTAATTAAGAATAAAAATCGAAAAGTAAAGAAATATGAAGTACATTCCCTTAGTAGTTTCTAAAATGTTAGTCAGTCTATTTGAATTTTTTACTATTAAGTCCATATAAGTTAAAAACATTTGTTCTTTGAATACTGGATTCAAGATTCTTCGATGAATTTTCCATACTGACACTTTAAATAAGAGAATATTTCTTATGTAAATTTATTATGTTTTTTTCTTATTAAAAAATTGGGAAATGTGAAACTATAGTTTACCTGGAGCAGTAAACAACCCATTACTAATATAAAACTTTATAAAGTCATACAATATACAAAGAGTAAAAAAGAATTCAACATGTTTGAACGAATTGTAAAGAATGTCATTATATCTTGTTAATATTGATAAGAATATTATTAACATTTATTATATCTTTATAATAAACCGTAGATACATGAATAAACCAATCGTAGACACAGTACAATATCAGCACATAATGAACTTCGGACGTATTGTACGAACGAAACGCGACGACGACACCCAGGTTTTTTTTGGTCGCCTATATACTTTGGCCATCATTTGTTTTTTCCTCGCACCATTTCTCGAAGTTTCTCGACCATTCGTTATCATAAGATTCCCGACTTTTCCTTTCCACCGGTCCGAGAACATTCGCGTGGCCTCGGATCTCAAGCGTTGTCAGCCTAGTCGTTTGATAACAGACTCTTGTCTTGTTTTCTTCCATTTCCCCACTTTGACTTTGTATTATGATAATAAATAATTACTAGATAAAAAAAGATACATTAGACGAAGTAGCATGAAGTATATCGATTAATTTTTATTATTCGAGATAAAATACACAATTTTTTATCCTATTTAGTGTGAATTTAATGTGCTAGAAGAATATATTTTTTCATTTATTTTGTATTATATTTTATATATATATTCTTTCATATATTATATTATATCTTTATTATATTTTAATTATATTTTAATTTATATTTGATCGCACGTTTTGATCATGCGTCAGAATTTTAATCTAATTGACGCWGTAGCTACCAGCMACTTTTATTGGAATTTATATATTATTCCATTCTTGTAGTCCTGACTAAATTGAATGTTCTGTTTCGGCAATATTGCGTGCGATAATCAAGAAAGAATGTAAGAGAATGTCTCCCCATGGCAAAACATTTAGATATGAATTTTGTGTATCTATCTCAATCTTATTCGTGAAAAACGAAACATTCGATTMGCGGAAATGTGAATTTATTGATTATATTCAAACAAGACGTAACAAATTTACGCGATATTCATCACGATTACGTAGCCACTGACATGACGTACAATAATTTTCACGCTACGTATATAAAATGGTGATAGCGAGATTATGAAATTGTAGTAATAAACAACGATAGCTATATAGAAGTATAGAATATAATTATACGCCTACGGCGATACATTAGAAACAACCAGCAAGAAAATTATTTCTTGAATAAGTATATCATATACTTCCGTAATTGATAATAGTGAGAGAAGAAATATTTCAAGAATAAGTATCCTGGATACTCTCATCAATGAATATAAGCCCGTACCCATGTGGTTGGAAAACCAAGGAGAGAGAAAATAAGCGAAGCGTATGAAAACACCCTACGCTTCTATGAAGGAACTATCGGTGAGATACCCTATTGTACTTATCTTCCCAGAATAAGCGATAGGTAAACCACGTGTTTAATCCATGGTTGACCGCCGTTAATCTGTATGCGAATAACAACCAGGGTTTTTATGCCGCAAGGCTTTTCCCTGAAGAGCTAATGAAGTGTTAAACATTCCTTTAGCTCAACCACGTGTTTTAATTTCATTTTAATTCAACCCATTATCTTCCTCATCATTAGCTAAAATCAATCACCACAGGACCCCATGTGAAAGAAAACTGCGTAAATACAATTAGATTACAGACACCAACTGAGAAGAAATGACAGATGTGGGTAAACAAAATATTAAATGACCGAGATACCGTTCTTTTGATTAATTCTACATTTCCTCGCCTTTCCCTTCGCAATTCTCCTTATTCTCTTATCTGACGAAACGTATTCAGACATGTTCAAGATTCACATATTACAGATTTTTCTACCTCGTTTATCTTATTGTTTACCCTCAATACCAAATTTTATATTCAATATTTCAACGATGATTCCGTAAATTCATATTTCAATATTTAATAGCGTTAAATGTGTTTTTTCTTATATACGATGTTTAATAGAATAGTCATTATTTTATTGACAAAATTTTAGAGCATGTAGACTTTATCTTTATAATGGTAGCCATCTTCAATAATTTTTACAGACTTTTAGTAATTGTTATGTCCCGCGACGTTTTTCATACTAACATTTCGCAGTTACACCACTGAGGCTACCCAAAGTAGCCCGCCTAGAAGACTAGCGAGACTAAATTCAAGTAGTTCGGGCAAACGGCAAAAAATATCTTTTTTTAGAAGTAAAAACACAAATACTCATTAAAACTAAACTCTAGTAGATCAAAAGGGCCACCTAAACGAGGCTACAACAAGTAATAAAACAATATTTTAATTTTCATTTGATTATTTCCCAAAGAATGTAGAATTGGTGTTACGCGCCTTCCTTGGCTAAGAAATTCAAAAAGCGTCAATCAAATAAACTATGTGTGTATATTATAATCATGAGAAAAGCGACGGGACGCAAGAATACGATGCGAATAAATAACCTATATGAAGGATATTGCTGACGAAATCAATTTAGAAACGAGCGAATTACTCAATAAATAGTATCAAAATAAAAAACACGGAACCAAAGTGGATAGAAGTTTGGAGACGAGAAGGCCAATATTGAAATTAATTTTTACTAACACGGCTTTCACCAGAACGAATTCGTAAGGAATCTTAGTTTAGAATTTTTTGAAAAGTTGTCTTGATACCTCCACCGGCAGAGTTACGTAAGGGTTACATCCAGGGAGGTGGAAATTATATATATAGGAAATATTTTCTCAACATAAGTTAGTTGGAGTTCAATTTTGATAAAAATCAAACAGAGGCTTTGTAAATTTGGTTAAGTCAGTTATAGAAAGAAGAGGTCACGAATCAAAAATCACAACGGACACCTAAGTAGTAAGTCTTAGCTTCTCTATAAAAGTCAATCTTAAACCGACTAAGCTTATTTACTCAGAGCAGCGAACTCTCTGTTAAATAAAAACCGCGTAATATAAGTATAAAAACCTATGAGTATTTTCAACTTAGGAAGCAATTTAAAAAAAATTTCGGTATCACATTCATTGATCCGGTAACCTAAAACTTTTTCTTAACTGCTTGATCGTTAAAAGTAACAAAAGCATCATAATTCGAGATATATTGCTTATTCTCATCGACTTGCAATTTTTAAATCGTAATTTACTCTTTAGAAAAGGGAACCTGTCTGGTCCCGGATGAACTCAGTGAACGCAAAGTGGATGAATCAATCTTAGCAACAAATTTTAAAACTATTGTCTTTTGGAATAAAATACTGTTCTTATTTCGAAGTCACGCGCATACATAAAGAAACAATTTTTCTCATAGTATAGAAAAAAGCGAAATAAAAAAACAAGAACATATAATTATATTCTATGCGTGTATATAGCAATCCGTGTCAATTACTAGAATTTCATAATCTCGTTATCAGCATTTCATATATGTAGCATGAAAATTATCGTACGTCATGTCAGTGACTACGTAGTTGTGATGAATATCTCGTAAATTTGTTACGTCTTGTTTGAATATAATCAATAAATTGACATTTTCGCAAATCAAATGATTCGTTTTCCTTGAATAAGATTCAGATAGATACACAAAATTCATATCTAAATGTTTTGCCATGGGGAGACATTCTCTTACATTCTTTCTTGATTATCGCACGCAATATTGCCGAAACAGAACATTCAATTTAGTCAGGACTACAAGAATGGAATAATATATAAATTCCAATAAAAGTGGCTGGTAGCTACAGCGTCAATTAGATTAAAATTCTGACGCATGATCAAAACGTGCGATCAAATATAAATTAAAATATAATTAAAATATAATAAAGATATAATATAATATATGAAAGAATATATATATAAAATATAATACAAAATAAATGAAAAAATATATTCTTCTAGCACATTAAATTCACACTAAATAGGATAAAAAATTGTGTATTTTATCTCGAATAATAAAAATTAATCGATATACTTCATGCTACTTCGTCTAATGTATCTTTTTTTATCTAGTAATTATTTATTATCATAATACAAAGTCAAAGTGGGGAAATGGAAGAAAACAAGACTTCTTCTAGAAGAAACTGTGTTTAAAACATCGATTAACCTCCTCTAGTCTTATAAACAACATAGATGATTCATTTCGAATATGTAAACTAGTATTGATACACATGGGATAAATGAATTGATTAAATACAGTTTTTTGTCTAATTTTGTCCACACCTGTTGAAGGTAGTATGCAAAGTACGATTTTAGATTTGTTTAAATAGGATCCTCGTATGTTCATTCTTTCTTAGTTTTGTTACGGCACGAAAGATATAAGAAGTCGCTGCGGAGTGTCAACTTCATATTTGTCCCTCACTATCAAACGGAGGCAATTAGTATAATTGTAAACAAATTTAACTACTTCTGTTATTTATAGTTTTGTTCGATTCAACATGGGGTACATTACTACTGTTGTTGCTTCAACAGCAATAATTATTATATTATTCTACGTAATTGAATATTTAATAAATAAATATCGTGAATATAATATGGTGAAAAAATGTCCGGGACCTAAAGCATATCCATTGATAGGAAACCTTAATATGTTTTTTGGTGATGCAAAAGGTATACTTTTATATAATATTTATAATATCTACATTTATGCGATCACTATTGAATGAATTTGTCTTAGATATAACTTATAAAATAATAAAATCATCTGAAAACTATTCTTCGCCGTGGCGACTTTGGCTAGGCCCAAAATTGGTCCTATTCTTTGATGATCCTGAATATATGAAGGTTAGATTCATAAGATGTAATGACATCCTTTACAATTCTTTTAAATATGCTGAATTCTTTTTTACTCTTTGTATTTAATTTTTGACAAATTTCTTGTCTTCTTTTTAGATTATATCAGACAGTTCTTATGGTTGGGAAAAAAGCGAGTTGTATGACTTTATGAAACCTTATATTGGTAATGGGTTGTTTACTGCTCCAGGTAAACTATAGTTTCACATTTCCCAATTTTTTAATAAGAAAATATTAAAAAAGAAAAAAACATAATAAATTTACATAAGAAATATTCTCTTATTTAAAGTGTCAGTATGGAAAATTCATCGAAGAATCTTGAATCCAGTATTTAAAGAACAAATGTTTTTAACTTTTATGGATTCAATAGTAAAAAATTCAAATAGACTGACTAACATTTTAGAAGCTACTAATGGAAAAAACGTAAATTTCTTGCATTACGTAAATATATGTACAATGGACATAATATATGGTAAGATTTGGAAATTCTGAGAAGTTAAAAAATATATTTTGACATTAAAATTTATTAAAAACTGTTTTCTTTTTGTACTGATAGGTAGCATACTGGAAAGTGATTTAGATTTGCAGAACAATTCGGAGTGTAAATTTCACGAATATATGATTGAGTAATAATAAACAGAATATTTATATACTTATATTATAGCGCAATGTTACTTCATATTTCTTTACTTTTTGATTTTTATTCTTAATTAGAGCGGTAGACTTAGTTATGGAAAGGATCTTCAAAATATGGTTACATCCTGATTTTACATTTAACAATTCATCTCTGGGAAAGAGATTAAAGGCGTTTCTATCAATTCTTAATAAAATTACAAGCGAGGTATACGTAAAAAGATCATTCTTATTTTAAATTGTCATTTTGTTTTCATAAATATTTGATTGCTAATATAAAATTATATTTTTCCTCATATATATATTATAACTTCTTTTTATTTGTCAAGATTATAAGGAAAAAAAAGGAAACAATAGAAGAAGGTAAAGTTCTTCAAGAATCAAAAGGACTAGATGAAAGTAAGAATAACAATTTCATAAAATATTCTTTTATTAATAAATTTATGGATAGTATACTGTTATAACAATACTAAATAGTATATTATATTTTCTTGATAATAAAGGTAAAAAAAAAAGTTCATTTCTCGACTTGCTATTTATATCACTGTACGAAAACGGAGAAATTTCCGAGCAAGATATTCGAGATGAGATCAATACAATAGTTTTAACAGTAAGTGTAGTCTATTTAAGATTAAAGACAATTGCTTTTTATTCATTAAAGGTAAAAAACAATATGTATTACTTTTTAGGGAAGCGAGACTTCTGCTGTTACACTGACCTTTTTATTTTTAATGCTGGCCACGTTTCCGGACATTCAAGTACGCACAGATAACAATTAAACATTACCTTATTTGTCATTATCTCTTTTATAAATCAAATGTATTTTTATACAAAACTTGTATCATGTATTCGGCTTTTCTGATTGCAGAAACAAGTATACGAAGAGTTGTACGATATGTACGGCCCAAGCGATCCAGACGATGTTCCTATTACATTGGAAGATATTAAGAAAATGAAATATTTGGAAAGAGTAATCAAGGAAACCTTACGTTTATTCCCTCCTGCCCCATTTATTGGTCGAACATCATGTAGCGATACAAAAGGTATTTTTACACATAATAAAATATATTTTGTATATTTTTTTTTCTATTGACATAACTGTCCTATGTAAGAATAATATGTATTTATTTATCTTATCAAGTGAACGAGAATCTTGTCATACCGAAAAATTGCTCTGTAGTTTTTGGAATATTTTCACTTCACCGAAAAGATAAATATTGGACTGATCCCTTAAGATTTAACCCAGATCGATTCTTGCCCGGAAATTATAATCCGAAATGTTTCTTACCATTCAGCACTGGGAAAAGAAATTGCATAGGTAATAGCATTTTTTTATGCATTCTTGAAATACTATCCTAATCAGTTGATTATCTAAATACATGGTTATTGATTATCGGATTTTTAGGACAAAAATTTGCAATGATCAAAATGATGGCAATCGCTGCTAATTTATTGAGAAAATTTACTGTTCGAATAGATGATCCAGTATCGGTTGAAAATGTTAAACTAAAATTTAGCGTAACTTTGAAACCAGCGGAACCTGCTTTTTTGAGATTTAAGAAGCGATAATATTTATCTTTTTTGTCAATACTATGTTCCTAATAAAGTAATTGTAATGTCGGAATGTAAGAGTAAAAATAAAAAAGTAAGAAAGAACATGCTTGTGGCGTACGTGATCTTAAGCACGTCGATCATGAAATCATTTGCTACCTGCGATTTGTTTAAGGTCAATTGTCAATGGGGTAGGAAGTTCCCTTGTAGATACTGTAAGATTCGTTTCCACCAAAGCTTTTAGAGCGTTACTTTTCACAGGCGTTTTAGCTATATGACGCGGTTCATTTTGTGCGGAAAATTCACGAGAACAATGTTTGTCAGATCAGCGTTACAATTTTCGATCTTTAACAGTATTTTCCCCAGACGTCTCGTTTATACTGCGTGCAGCTATTGCAGCATTATTACCAAGTTTATACTCATAAAAAAATTACACAAATATCGATTGAATTCATATTCTTACGAAATTTAAAAGAAATAAAAAAATTAAAAGCTTTTGAGAAAATCTTCTTTGTTGAAAAGTGGACTCTTACAATGGAGAGTACGACTAAAAACGAAGTTATGCAAAAATAAAAAAAATAACGAAAACAGCGAGACAAATGTTCACATGTAAAAAAAACAACTGGTTTGTGTTTTTATGTACGCACGTAAGAAGTTAAATTTCTTTTCCGTAACAAAATATTTTTTTTCGCAGCCTATACGCGTTGCAAGGTTCCGCGTTTGTTTGTGATGGATACTTTCTTTTAGATACATTTTTATAACGGTAGTAATAAGCATTACACTTCTCTGCATTAGTTTAAGAAATCTCGAAAACTGAAACAAGAATTTAAATGTATACTTGTACTGGTCAAAAAGCTGCAAGAGATTATATTTTAATAAGAATTATTGTACACAATAATTTATAAATAACTAAGATGCATTCTTTTTTTAATTCTTTTGATAGAATACTAATGTACATGGTTTCTTTCCAGTGTGAATAAAAAGAAGACGATTTCTTCCAAAACCTTTCATGATTTTAGTGTCGTCGGCTTCTTATCGTTGTTGAAAATAATACGCTCTTTCTTCCAGTAAAATGATTCATCACCTTTACGGGGAGAATAAGTTTTCTAATGCTTTGAATAAATATTTTTCAAGAGAAATATAATATTTGTTTCTATCGGAAGCAAGATTATTATTTTTACCTTTTAACAGATTCATGTCTTGCTTATTCCTTGTAACGTTGGCTACATTCTATTCGCATAATAATTCAAACGGAATCTCTATTAAGGAGGCATTAGTTAAAAGAAATATTTATATTGTTAACCATTGAAAAATGAAATATATATGCATAGGTCCGATATTGTAATAGAGTCTATTTCTTGGGTGTGTTATGGTCTTCGATTGGAATAAAAAATGTAAAGCCACATACTTATCTAAAACTATTTAAAAAAGTAGTTTATGCGTGTGTGTGTGTGTATGAAATATAAAAAATATAAAAAGAGAAGCAGAGCACCATAAATTGAATTAAAAAATAAGATTTTAGTTAAAAAGTATTTTAACTAAACAGAATATTGCTATTCTACTTACTATTGTCTGTTATAATATCAGGATAAAGAGAACCATTGTAATTCATCGGTATTCTTAGATTTAAATCAGAAAATTGTCATCGTATGGTTAAGGCATAAAAAATTGCACAGAATATTATCTAGTTTATTCATTTTAAACTTAAATTGGAAAAACTTATACGAGAAGAACACGTTGACATATAAAAAACTGTCATAGGCGGTGATGAGATCACTTTTCCCCATAAATGTTTGTATAGTATCTTTGAAAAAAACAAAAAAAAAACAAGAAGAAAAGTAAAAGCAAAGTAAAGAATTCAGCACTATAAATTGTAGGAAGGAAAATAATAGGGCGGTGATGAATGGAGGAAGAAGGGTGGTCAGGGGGCTGGAAAGAAAATCAAAAAGTAAAAAGCACAAGGAAAATTGAAAAAAGGAAAACAGGAAGATCCGAAAAATTACGTGAGATTGTTATCTCGAGTGGAATGACGTCGGCATGTAGAAGATTATTAGGTATTAGGTAGAATCTAACCTTCATATATTTAGGATCATCAAAGAATAGGACAAATTTTGGGCCTAGCCAAAGTCGCCACGGCGGAGAATAGTTTTCAGATGCTTTTATTAATTTATAAGTTATATCTAAGACAAATTCCTTCAATAACGATCGCATAAATGCAGATATTATAAATATAAAACAAAAATGTACCTTTTAAATCACCAAAGAATATATTTAGGTTTCCAAAATTATTGGATAAGCCTTAGGTCCTGGACATTTTTTCACCATATTATATTCACGACATTTATTTATTAAATATTCAATTACGAAGAATAATATAATAATTACTGCTGTTGAAGCAACAACAGTAGTAATGTTCCCCATGTTGAATTGTACAAACTAGAAATAACAGTAGTTAAATTTTTTTAAAACTATACTAATATGAAGTTGACACTCCGCAGCGACTTCTTGTATCATTCGTGACGTAACAGAACTGAGAAAGAATGAACATACTAGGACCCTATTTAAGCATATCTAAAATCGTAGTTTGTCAAGATGTCAAAGATACTTTCAACACGTGTGGGCAAAATCAGACAAAAAGCGGTCTTTTATCAATTCATTTATTCCGTGCTTATAAATACTAGTTTACATATTCGAAATGAATCATCTATGTTGTTTATAAGACTAGAGGAGGTTAATCGATGTTTTAAACACAGTTTCTTCTAGAAGAAATCTTGTTTTCTTCCATTTCCCCACTTTGACTTTGTATTATGATAATAAATAATTACTAGATAAACAAAATATGTGACAATTAGTTTTAATTATTAGAGCTAAAATACACAATTTTTTATCCTATTTAGTGTTAATTTAATGTGCTAGAAGAATATATTTTTTCATTTATTTTGTATTATATTTTATATATATATTCTTTTATATATTATATTATATCTTTATTATATTTTAATTAAATTTTAATTTATATTTGATCGCACGTTTTGATCAGAATTTTAATCTAATTGACGCAGTAGCTACCAGCAACTTTTATTGGAATTTATATATTATTCCATTTGCATAGGCCTGACTAAATTGAATGTTCTGTTTCGGCAATATCGCGTGCGATAATCAAGAAAGAATGTAAGAGAATGTCTCCCCATGGCAAAACATTTAGATATGAATTTTGTGTATCTATCTCAATCTTATTCGTGAAAAACGAAACATTCGATTAGCGGAAATGTGAATTTATTGATTATATTCAAACAAGATGTAATAAATTTACGACATATTCATAGCGATTACGTAGCCACTGACATGACGTACGATAATTTTCATGCCACATATATAAATGCTGATAATGAGATTATAAAATTCTAGTAATTGACAAGGATTGCTATATACACGTATAGAATATAATTATATGTTTTTGTAATTTTATTTCGCTTTCTTCTATGCTAAAAGAATAATATTATTTTTTTCACAAAGACGCGCGCGATTGTTTTAAGATTTGTTGCTAAGATTGATTCATCCACTTTGCGTTCACTGAGTTCATCCGGGACCAGACAGGTTCCCTTTTCTAAAGAGTAAATTACGATTTAAAAATTGCAAGTCGATGAGAATAAGCAATATATCTCGAATTATGATGCTTTTGTTACTTTTAACGATCAAGCAGTTAAGAAAAAGTTTTAGGTTACCGGATCAATGAATGTGATACCGAAATTTTTTTTAAATTGCTTCCTAAGTTGAAAATACTCATAGGTTTTTATACTTATATTACGCGGTTTTTATTTAACAGAGAGTTCGCTGCTCTGAGTAAATAAGCTTAGTCGGTTTAAGATTGACTTTTATAGAGAAGCTAAGACTTACTACTTAGGTGTCCGTTGTGATTTTTGATTCGTGACCTCTTCTTTCTATAACTGACTTAACCAAATTTACAAAGCCTCTGTTTGATTTTTATCAAAATTGAACTCCAACTAACTTAAATATTTCCTATATATATAATTTCCACCTCCCTGGATGTAACCCTTATGTAACTCTGCCGGTGGAGGTATCAAGACAACTTTTCAAAAAATTCTAAACTAAGATTCCTTACGAATTCGTTCTGGTGAAAGCCGTGTTAGTAAAAATTAATTTCAATATTGGCCTTCTCGTCTCCAAACTTCTATCCACTTTGGTTCCGTGTTTTTTATTTTGATACTATTTATTGAGTAATTCGCTCGTTTCTAAATTGATTTCGTCAGCAATATCCTTCATATAGGTTATTTATTCGCATCGTATTCTTGCGCCCGTCGCTTTTCTCATGATTATAATATACACACATAGTTTATTTGATTAACGCTTTTTGAATTTCTTAGCCAAGGAAGGCGCGTAACACCAATTCTACATTCTTTGGGAAATAATCAAATGAAAATTAAAATATTGTTTTATTACTTGTTGTAGCCTCGTTTAGGTGGCCCTTTTGATCTACTAGAGTTTAGTTTTAATGAGTATTTGTGTTTTTACTTCTAAAAAAAGATATTATTTGCCGTTTGCCCGAACTACTTGAATTTAGTCTCGCTAGTCTTCTAGGCGGGCTACTTTGGGTAGCCTCAGTGGTGTAACTGCGAAATGTTAGTATGAAAAACGTCGCGGGACATAACAATTACTAAAAGTCTGTAAAAATTATTGAAGATGGCTACCATTATAAAGATAAAGTCTACATGCTCTAAAATTTTGTCAATAAAATAATGACTATTCTATTAAACATCGTATATAAGATAAAACACATTTATCGCTTTTAAGTATTGAAATATGGATGTTCTGGTTGTGTTTCGCCTTTCTCTTTTTGGCTCATAACCACGCTAGGAAACAACTGTATGGCTTCTCATCCCCTCGGGATATCCAAGAAGGGCCTTATTATCTCGGAGTGAGTAGGTCCCCTCCCCTATTGCCGCTATCAGTTCACATCTGGATGATGACGCAACCCTGAGGCAATCACGAGGCGGAGGAGCCTTATCGTGTCTGGCTGATTGGCCAGACTTGACCTTCGTTGACCTTTAAATATCCTAGAGTTGCAGATTGTTGGATT